CACTTGTATTACTAGCTGGAGTGACCTTTGACCTCTGGACTGAATCATGGAAACACTGCAGGCAGCTTCATCCAACGTATCCAGAACACAAGGGAAGTTCTCCTACAGAGCAAGCCCAGAACATTCAGCTTGAATATTAGAACGAGTCATCAACGGCTCCGTCCTCACACAGAACCTCCACAGAAACATGGAAAGAAAGGAGGGAAGAGACGGAGGTGAAGAAAGTGAAAACACAACTTCCTGTTTGTTCATCAGCTCCATGTTTTACTGAGCTTCTGTGAGAGGCTTTGAACATTTCACATTGTTTGCTGCTTCAGTAAAACAGCAGCTCAGAAGAACACACTGAGGAACATAGTACCCACTGGCAGGAAGCTGCTGGTACCAGTCTGAATCATCTAGAACATCTACACACTGAGGTCCTTGAAGAAACCAGAGCTGGTTCTAGCTGATCCAGAACATCTAAATGCTGAGATCCTTGAAGAAACCAGAACCGGTTCTAGCTGATCCAGAACATCTACATGCTGAGATCCTTGAAGAAACCAGAACCTCAGGTAGGAGCTATAGATACATGAACGTGCCAAAAACACAGTTTTTAGGTTATGAATTGAAAATGACAACTTCTGTAAACACTAAAGCTCCAGGGTGTACAGTTGAAACCCATCCAGAACCAGACCTGCAGGTTGGACACAACTGGACCCTCCAAACCTTCAACTTTCATGTGTTCATTTGAAAAAAACATGAGTTTGATTTCTTCATCAGATCAGTTCCAGTTTCAAACTGGGGCCAGTTCTTCCTGTTCCTGAACAATGTGTAGCATCTCAGCACCAACGCTTTATTAGACCAGAACCAAGAGGACCAGTAGGAGCGATCATGGAGACCAACAATCAGGGAAAATGTTGTGACACCAAGTTGAAAAACCTCAAGTTGGTTTTGTTTTGAGTTCGTTTCATTCAAGACGGAGCAATAAAAGCTGTGATGTTCTCCATTAATCAGATAGAAAGTAATATTTTACTAACAGGAGCTGACGGTCATGTTTTCATGTCATGTGGTGAAAACTGGTGAGTCCATCCTGAAGGTTTCACTCTGGACCTTTAAACCTTCAGAGTCTCTGCAGCAGTTTGTGTGTTCAGAGCTTCTTCAGTGGTTTTCTTCAGGGATTCATGAGATGTGAAGAACAACATGTTTGTGTTTCCGAGGTCAGAACCTCAGACAGAGAGCAGAACCTCCAGAACCCAGCTGTCTGTCCATGAAGAGTGACTGGTCCAAATAACTAATTCCAGAGCTCAGTGAAGAAGCTGGACCCTCAGACACAAAGTAAAACAGCTGTTGCTGATTTAGACTGAATCTTCTTGTCTTCAATA